ACACACACACACACACACACACACTTTGTGCTGCTTTTCCTATGCAGTTGCTGAATTTTAAAAAAAAAACTTGGGGTAAAAAAAAATTTAAGTCACCAGAGCACAGTTAAAAAACTGCAGAGATCATTATGTAGAAACAAATATATTGAGATTAGGCTAAAAAGGCTGAAGGTATTTTCACATTGAGGCATAGCATAAGGGGAATTGCTCATGTTGCACAAGAAGCTTTTATTTCTCCACACAGTGTAGGAGAACTATGGGGAAAAGCCTTAACCCCATAGTTCTCCTTTAAGTCGTGACCCAAGTCACACTGCAATGCATTGCGGCACCACATGTTCCGGTGCGGGCGATCAAACATGTGGGAGGTGTGTTTGGGGTACCATTCAAATGAATGGCAATGCACCTCCCACACCAGAATGCCCATTAGGTGCGATTGCATGTAAAGTGCATTAAAGCACATAGGACTGGGACTGTGCGATTAATGCACTGTACTAGTGTGAACGGGCCCTCAAAAACACTTCAAGACCAAGTGTTTAGACCCCCTTCCTGGCCAGGCCATTTTTCAGTCTTCAGCGCTGCGGTACTTTGACTGACATTTATTCCGTCATGCAACGCTGTACTGAAATGAATTTTATACAATTTTCTGGGGACAGGTAGAGCTTTGTTTTGGTGGTATTTATTCACCACTACGGGTTTTATTTTTTTACTATAATTAGGAAAAATTACTGAAATTTTTTTTTTACATTATGTCAGGAAACATTTATTATTAGCCAGTTTTTTGGTAAAATATAAAAGACGGGGTCACGTCGGGTAAATAGACACCAAACATGTCAAGCTTTAAAATTGCGCGCACCAGCGAAATCGCTGAAAACTACCATACCCAAAATTGGCCATAGGTGACACTTTAAAAGCTTTTACAGCTCATCAGTTTAGTGTTATCAGTGATTGATGGCCCTAGAATGATTACTCTCACTGTGACGTTTGCGGCGATATGTAACATATGCGGCGTATTGGGCACAATCGTCGTTTTTGCACGTATGCGCCCCGACGCATGTTTGCATGCGTGTATGTATGGGTGGGGACTTTAAAAACAATTTTTGTTTTTTATTCTTTTTCATGTGTAACTTTACATTTTTTGGGGGGGGAACTAACTTTTTTTTTTCCTCTCACTAAACTTTATTGCTATCATATACGGGGGCTAATAAAACTCCCCTATGTGATAGCAAAATATGTGACAGGTCCTCTTTATGGATACATCAGGGGTCTCCAAGACCCCTAATGTCACCTAGGACCCCCCAAAAGAAGCAGGTGAGGCACAGATCTGCTCCATCAGCTTCTGAAACTGGAGAGTGGCACAAGAATGCGGAAGTGATGTAATATACAACACTTCCGCATTCTTGAAGCGGAGAGGGGACCGGAGGGAGCTCGTGTACAGATCTCCCTCTGATCCCCGGACTCGCACCGTGCACAGCGGAGCACGGGACCAGCGATCGTTACCCCATACAAGCGAGTCTGAGGGGACGTCTAAAAGACGCCCGCTCAGATCTAGAGAGCTCCTGGCCCGCCGTTTTTTTTACAACGGCCGGCCGGGAGGTAGTTAAGGTCCACCCAGTCTCCCTAATTTACGAGTACTGGAGAGGATCCTCAGCCTAAAGTCCAGTGGGGCTGCTGTGCTGTGTCGGAGCTCTATCCATATGTGCATTGCTTGTACAGCTCCCTTGCATGCCCTGTAGAGGTGCCGGGAGCCAGAATGTGGTGTCCCTCCGGTCCAGGCACCTCTACAGGACATGCGAGGGAGCTGCAAGCAATGCACGTATGGATGGATGGAGCTCCCCTGCAGCTATAGCCCCAACCCACCTTAAGGTGACACACTGTGTCGGGCAGCATATTTTGAATGCTGCTTGGTGGGAGAACTGACTGTGTTGCGCTAGGAAGAGTCTGAGGAGCCTCTTACCTGGAAAAGTGGAAGGCACACAGCGACCCACTGAACACGGGGTCGCAACCCACTTTAGGGTCACGACCCACCAGTTGAGAACCAAGGATCTAGACTATAACGTACAATGACAGCTTGATTTATAAACCCCAAATGAAAGGTGAAGCAGGGGTGTGGAATTCGTATCGCCCGACACATTTAGTTCCGGGCGCCGGGCAAGTGTTTTTTTTTCTACTATTATAGCCCTGCTACAGACTACGTGTTTTTTTCTTTCTTAAATGAGCGTCGAGAGCAGCGCTGCGAGAGGGGGGCGTGGAGGGCCGAGAGCGTGGAGCCGTGACAGAGCAGTGACAAAGCCGGACGGTGGAGCTGTGACAGGCTCTGTCACCTCCCTCAGCCTCTGTCCCCGGCAGCCGCTGCTCATTCCTGTCACTGGAGTTCTAGCACAGAGCTGTGCTAGAACTCCTGTGTTGGAGGTGGCAGGGTCAATAAAGACTACCTGTCTCCTCCAAATGCTATCACACAGGGGATTATTATTCCCTGCGTGATAGCAATACAGTTAAGTTTTAAAAAAAAATAGTTGAAAAGAAAAAGTAAAATATTAAAAATGTAACTAAATAAAAACAAATGAAACATTTTTACAAAGTAAATACAAATTTAAAAAAATTAAAACCAGCCCCACTGCCCCATCTGCATGCAAATAAACGTGCAGTGTTTTCAACTGCAATCGTGTGCAACTGATCGGGCAGAGCAGTATTGCAGCAGGAAAACGCGCAATCTGCCTGGCATGACTGGGGTGCCATTAGAAAATAATGGCACTGCCAGCGCGATCGGCAGGGGTGTGCGATCCGTGACTGCCCGGTCATCGCGCACAAAACCGAGCAGATGGCTGGGTGGTCACAGAATCGCACACCACCACCGATCGTGCTGTCAGTGCCATTTTCTAATGGCACCCCAGTCGTGCCAGGCAGATTGCGCGTTTTCCTGCTGCAATACCGCCCGGGCGATCCCACACGATCACGGTTAAAAACACTGCGCGGTGCAGGTCGTGAAAATAGGTACATCTACCTTTTTTTTCAGCGATTGCCACGCAGATGTAACCCCATACATGCGGATGCAACCGCACACGTTCGCACCAAACGTAAGGGTATATTCACTTTCCCAAGTAATTTGGGAAAATGGAATTACCCGCACAAATCTCCCTCCCACTATACTTACCTTTCGGCAAACGGTCCTTCCCATCCACCAGTACGGGTGTACTACTATCTGCACCTGTTCCATGTATTCTGAATTTCGCTCGCAAATTGCAAGCACTCGTTGGTCAACGCAGTGACCTGACGGCACTGACCAATGAGAAGCGCTTCTTAGCACTGCTAAATACGATTTTGGTTAAAATTATTTTTTTTGTATCAGGACAAGTAGATTGTCATGAGGGACAAGTAGATTCGGCACCCGCTTTAGTTCTTGGACAAGTAGTTTTTCAAAAATGTCCACACCCCTGTGAAGGCGTTGCCAACAGCTACCAAACTTCAGGTGACCTTAGCTTCTTTTTTTTTTTTGTGAACCTGCCCTGGAGAAAATAATTTACACAAAATGTGTATTTTTGGTAAATCAGGCCCAACGATAAAATAATACCATAATGCAGGACTAAACCACAAACAGTTCATATGAGGTTAACACATACTGTATGGAGTATTCTGGTATATTACCTTGAATGGAATCTGAATTTATTAATCCAACACCCTGGGCAGTCAAGAATAAAGAATGCTAGCAAAGAGAAAAGCTCAGCAGGCATGACAATCTGCTTTCCACCAAATGCCCCCAATGACATTACCCAAGCATGGACCAGCTGAGAGCCTGACACAGATTCCAGCAAAGAGAAATGCTCCTGAGCAAACTTGCCGGATAGTCTCATCTGCTCAGTTGGCCTGCATCTTTCCGGGGGGATTCTCTCAGGAGTTGTGACCGGTTGTCCTATTTATATACCATTAGCCTGTGATCAGCTTTAACATGCTATAAACTGTACTCTTCTCTTGCTCCACCCTACTTGTTATGGTGCCCATGTAAATTTACTCTGCCTTTTTTGTATTCTGTACCTTTGATGCTTTTGAAACATTTTAAATAAAAGAAAAAAAGAAGAAGAAGAAGAAGATCAACATTGGGCTGGCCCCTTCTATACACCAAAGGGTTTTTACAACACTTTAGGTTGTGATAGAAATGAACAAATCTAGAATTGAAGTGCCACACCTTGATATTCAAGACCAGATTCCAAAGACAGGTTGGCTCACCCAGCTTCCTATTGCTGTCTGTGCACCAACCCTGCTGAAATTTCTCCTACCTTCCTGCCACCATGACAACATTGCAACCAGTAAACAAGAAGTTAGTGTAAATTGGCCCATCAGAACCAGAAATTGCAATAAACTTACAGTCGCAACTAATGATTATTTTCATAATTTATTAGTTGAGCTGTTTCTTTTCCCCGATTGGTAGGATAAAAAAAAAAAACATTTTATTTAAAATACACAATAGAGCCGGTAGATGTACACAGCAGGTAGAGGGCAGGTGCAATAGCCAGCCTGTTATTGGACATTTCAATTTGAAATAGAAGGCTGGTTATTGCACCCTCCCACTGCCTGCTGTCAATCAGCAGAGAAGAGACCTGAAGGGGGGAGGGTAGGTTTGGGGAGCGGGGGTCTGTGTCCCCTCAATTCCCCAGAGGGAGCAGTGGGGATCGGAGGGCCACACAGAACCGATGAAACACTGGTTCTCAGCGCGAAGGAGAGAACTAGGGATCCACACCAACTAAATTGATTAGTTGGTTGCAGCCCTAATATAAACTAGCAATGGATTTGCAGTGTGTCCAGATGTGGTCACCCACAGGGGAATCACAATTACATGCAAAAAGCTGTGGGTGGTGGCAGCTGTCATTGCATTGTACATCGCCTCACACCCGCAGAAGATTGCTTGGGTCTCATGGAGGAATTTGCGAGACTCATGCAATCAGTCACATTCGCAGGTGTGAATGGGGCCGTATGTTCCTGGCCTCCTATAGAAGAGGCTGCCACACTAAGAATGCTGTGAAATTCAGGAATTCGCATAGAGATCTGATAAAAAACAAACATGCAATTATACAGAATTTAAGCTTAAAAACCACAGTTAAAAGGTTACAACAATGAGGTACATATCCTTTCACATATTAACTACATTGGCAGCATGCAAGTGTGACTGGGGAGATAGCAGAAATTTACAGCTGAAAATAAGTGATACCATTTATTGCTTGGAAAAAATAAAAGATCTTTAAAACTAGCTTTGAGGAGAACCAGTTATAAAGGTCTTCCTTGTGCAAGGCCCATAAACTGGGTGACTTTAAAAAGAACCAAACCATCTAAAAGCAGGTGTAAAAGGACTGGTGAAATTCTAATCTGAATGCCCCAGAATAATGTGTATTTAATGCCTGTGGAGACAAATCAATAATGAACTTTGATATGGGGTTTTATTTTATATTAACAGTTGCATGAACTAAGTCAGGACTTACTGACTTATCTGAATGCCATTTCCAAGTCAACATTTCCCTATGTTCAGGTTCAATATTACAAGTAATTGACACAAAGTGTCAGCACAGTACGAGACTCCTGGATTCATATATACGTACATGTTGAGGTTTGTGCTAGCTTCTCCTTGGTCTTCAAGGCATGTGCTCTTTCTTCCTTAAGCCTTTCATCATCTTTTAACAGAGACACCAACTGCTTGGCCTTTTCTCGGACATTCACACCTTGATCCTTCCCATCTCTGTCCACATATTGGAAATCTTTCAGTGTCTGAATAGCATATATGTTTTCCTTACATTGCTGTGCGACCCGCTCAGAGCCTGTTTTTATTAAGTACTCCATTAGCGTCATAGCCTGAAATTGAAAAAATGATTACTGGAATTAAATATGAAGAAAAAAAAAAAAAGGAGGACGCAATTGCCATTTACACAAGAATGCAAGGGGCAGCTTAAGCTAAACTGCTGAAAACGTATGCGGGATGAGAGGGTTACCAATTGTACCTGAAAAAGTTTGCAAAAGTACACATGGTTTTAATGCACCCAGCCATGATAGGCTATATGCTCACATAGTATGATTAGGGAGCAACAATTGACAAAAGCCCAGTTGTGCAACCCCTATGCTTCCACTCATCCTTCCAGGATGGGAATGACAAGTGCTACTAAGCTATTCCTGATAGCAGGGGCCTCCCATGCCGTTTACAGCCTTGGTGCATGAATCTTACACATGTCTGTGCAGTAACGACCCTTAGACATGAATAGGCCGTTGGAGTAAGGCTCCATACAAGGATGTAGAAACCATGAGAGGCATTTGATGTCAGAAAGAGGAAAGCATGCATCAGGGTAGGTGGGTGAGTGGGCGTAACTTTAATTTTAATGCAAACCAATGCTTTTTTTTCCAAAAGATACATAGGATGAATCTATAGGCAAAGCAGGAAACAAGGTAGTAAGTAGTGTGGAAGATCTCATTGGAGTAATTACATTCGAAGGTGTACTTCAGGGAAAAATATAAAAAGGAAGATGCAGGCCATAAGTTCCAGAAGGCTTTGGGTCGGCATATAGGAAGACAGGTAGCTCAGAAGCATAATGTACACACTTCAGTGACTCCTGCTTACCAGATGTGAGTGGTGTTGCCTTTATTATCAGTTCTATTTGGAGATGTACTTTATCATTAAAACAGAAAATGAGAACGTATTCTTACTTTATACACATGCCTCCAGTTTTTCCCATGATCATTAAGACGCTTCCATATCATGCTCATGATTTCAGAGAATGCCACAACATTGTAGGTGAGATCTGCAATCTCAGACATAAGAGAGCTGGATGGACCCCATGGATCGTTCGATGTAGCTTCCCTCACTTTGATTTCAGCTTCAGAATAATTGTGGACTATATTTTTCATCTGCCGGCGCAGCGAGGAGGTAGACATGTTGGTTGTTTTTGTGACAGGTGGCAGTAAGGAAAGACGACTGGAACACTTAATATAGTTTTTTTTATATATATTATTAGTTTAAAGAACAAAAGTTCCTTCAAATTCTGAAGATTGTCAACAGCAGAACCCAAGTAGAATGCCTTCAATAGTGGAAACAAGACACTTAGGACATCCAAGGTCAATACCACGTCCCCTTTTAGGTGTGCCAAGATGTCCAGATATGCTCTCCAGCAGCGTACAATCCTGGCATTGTGAATGCACTAGAGAAACATCTGAAAAACAAGGACAATCTGTGAGCAAGCTACACATGTAGAAATAAAAGAAAATAATAATAATAATAAATGTTGAACACACACTTTAAAAAAGACTATATATACACACACAGCTTGCAGCAAGACATTTTCCTTACAGAGAAGCACTTTTTTCACCACAAGGTACCCACACACTGCATATGAGTGACTAAGACACCATTTTCTGATTCATCTCAATACCGATGAAAAATGATAAATGGAATATTAATATTATTCATTTGTTCATAAGAATAAGGGTTAAACAAGTTAAATAAACCTGATAATGTTTATTAATCTGATAAAATTAGAGACTTTGCCCCTATCCTGGTCCATATGGCTTTCGCAAGATCTGGAACTACTGTATGCAGCACTGTATAAGTACAATGTGTTCCATCAGTAGTAAACAGAGGAAGAGGAAAAGGCCATAATGTGACAGGGCTACAAGATGCGCTACAAGTCTAGAAGTCAGATGCGCTACAAGTCTAGAAGTCAGATTTACACACAAAAAATTTTATGGAAAGGAAAAAAAAAAATACTGCAAATAAGCACTTCAAATACTTGATTTTTACGTGTTTTTACCAGCAAATGTTTGGCCTACTGACAGGGTCTCTTTAATGCTCATCTTGGGGGGAAGGTCATCCATCATAATCCTCACTTCCAATCCCTCACACCAAATTCAGCAGTTTTTAATTAAATACCTTTTGAAATCTTTAATACTCACTTAACGCTGTAGTACAAATCCCTTGCCAGCGCTGCTTACGTCATCTGTCTCGTTCAAGGTTTTCCTTAAGTACGAGTTCTCATGAAGGAAATATCCCTTACATCTTATGCAGGCAATGGGTGTCATACAGAACAGGAAATTAGGGGAAATCTCCGTAATGAAGCTGCAGGCAGCATTAAAAATCTGTTCCATGATTAAACTCTTCCATACTCTACAGAACAGAAGTTGTGACTACTATTATCTTTTAATGCAACCCAATACACACATCTGTGCTCTGGGGCAACGTTGTGCCAGTCCATTGCCACTACTGTAGTGGTGTGTTAGGGTTCTGTTTAAAATAAACAGAACTTGGCTTGTGTGTTTCGGTAAAAGGTTTTAAGGGGGACTTCAAAAGAGAACTATGGGGTAAGTGCTTTTCCCCATAGTTCTCTTAAGGGTTACGGGAGGACATATACTAGCGTCCTCCCCTGACCCAAAGTTCAGTATATTGCGAGCTACAGCTCGCGTATACCGAGACCGCTGCAGCCGAGACGGACCACCAACATTACTGTCGAGATCCACCCAGCTGCGTGACAGTTGGCTCTGCCTATCTAGTGTTAGAGCCAACTGTACCCTCCCCCTTCCGTTACTCCAGTCAGTGCTGGAGGATCGGAGCGTGGAGAGGTGAATCCCTGCGGGGAGCCGTGACTGATCGGAGCATCTCTCTGCAGGGAGATGATCGGGAAGTGAGCGACAGTATGTGTTCGCTCACTTCCCGATCTATTGAGCCAACGTGACAGTTTCATTGTCACAGGTCGGCTCGAACTATGAGGATGAGTGATTTTCACTCACCTCATAGTTCGTGCCGACCTGTGACAATGAGACTGTCACAGGACGGCTCAGTAGAGCCGACCTGTGACAATGAGACTGTCACAGGACGGCTCAGTAGATCGGGAGGTGAGCGAACATATACCGGCGTTCGCTCACCTCTCAATCCTGTCACGGCTCTCTGCCGTGACAGGGGAGGGGCTGGATTCCCCCCTCCCCGCTCCGCCAGCGCTGACTGGCGGAACGGACGGGGGAGGGTACAGCTGGCTCTGCCTCTAGATGTCAGTCACGCAGCTGGGCGGATCCCGGCACAATTGTCGGGATCCGCTTCAGCGTCTCAGTATACCGCGAGCAGCTGTAGCTCGCTGTATACTGAGCCTAGGGTGAAGGGAGGACGCAAGTTGTGTCCTGCCGTTACCCTAAGGAGAACTATGGGGAAAAGACTTAACCCCATAGTTCTCCTTTAATGTGGATAGACAATTTGATATTGCAGTTTTTTTTCTTTAATGGCGATTCATGCTCAGGCTTAGGGAAAGCTCCCAGTTGCACCCAACCGCCACAGCCATTATGAGGGGTCTCTGCTGGATTGTCGCTTATCTCTTAACAGCTCAGGTCTTTCCATTTATTCCAGCTTGCAAATGTCACTACTGAAGGGCCCCAAGAGAAAGAAGCAAAATGAGAAGTAGAGCATGATGTCCACTACAGTCATGCATAGGAGAGCCATACAAGATCATGCAGCACTAAAGCTGTACAATATTTATCAGGCAAATGTTTTTGATCTACCACCTACAAACTGTACATTAAAATAGATCCACTACCTAGCTGGACCAGATGTCAATCAAATCTGTTGAACAACTAGTTGAAAGGGAGCCAGAGAAGTCAAAAGCTCTTTTAAATAGTGTCAGAGCAAACAAATCTCTGCAAAGGAACAAAGACTCTAGGGCTGCAACAACTAATCGACATAATCGATTATAATCGATTATTGAAAAAGTTGTCAACTTTTTCAATAATCGATTAATCGGCTTCCGATCAGTTGGCCCTGTTCACGGCTCCACACACGCTGCGCGCCGCACCTCTTCCCCACCTCACGCTCGCCGCTGCCAGACCCGC